CTGGGAAGACCAAGGTGTAGGCGAGAGGAAAATATTAAAATGGATCTTAGAGATATAAGATGGTATTGATTGGATTGATCTGACTCAGGATAGGGACCAGTGGAGGGATCTTGTGAATACGGTAATGAACCTTCGGGTTCCATGAACTAAGGGAAGTCCTTGAGCAGCTGCACAGTTGGCAGCTTCTCAAGAACTCTGTTCCACGGAGTTAATTATTTGGTTCATTCATTTATCAGTGGCTACACAGACCTGTGTTGGCCACTGGCCTGAGTCGGTAGGACTCCTTGGACGGGGGTAATTATTTGGTTCATTACTAATAAATTACATTATCTTGTATTTTGTTAAATATTCATCACGTCCAAGTACAACTTTTAGAGCACAGAACTGCCTATGCGTTATGGTTTGTACCCACAATTCGAGGGATCCTTCCTTGGTTCGAATTGAAGTCGAACCTGTGTTGATTATAATATTCATTCTGTACTCAATTTGAACAAGTTTTAAGAAACATCAGGGAGAGTCGAATCGGGAGATATCGATTCTGTTTGTTAGAAGCAGGAAGCAGGGTATAAACTGCTGTAGTTTGGAATTAAAGATGGTTTATTCACTTTGGGATTTATGGCTTTTTTGGAGTGCTGCCAAATTGTCGCCTTGAAGGACGCTGTGCACCACAGAAGGAAGGGAACAATAACCCTCGGTTTCAGACCAACCCTTTGTCCTTTAAGAGAAGTCCTCAAAGAGATTCCGGGGTGAAATGATAGCAAAGAAACCTGGAAATTGCCGGGGTGTTCAGTACACAGTATTACCTCGGAACCTCGTGTGCAGTGCGTCGAGAGGGTGGCTCCAGTCTGAAGGAGCAACTAACCTTTCAGAATTACGTTGATCACCGCGAGTGGAAACTTTTACGTGAACATTTTTTTTAATGCTAATCGGATGGGACTAAGTCCCTTGTACTGCGGCCGCTTCTGGCCTATTGTACCAGCCCCAGATGATAGGTGAGGGTGATTGTGGAGCAATTGGTGGGATGAAGATTGGCAGGGGAAACCGAAGTACTCGGAGAAAACCTGCCCCAGCGTCACTTTGTCCACCACAAATCCCACTTGAACCCGGGCCGCCGCTGTGGGTTGGTGTAGTTACAGTAACCTTTATATGGCGCGGCCCCTACATGAACATTACACTTTATTCTAAATCACCCAGAAAAATTGTAGTTACGATTAACGTGACATTTCGTGACAACCGCGCCGACGTGAATTGTGAATAACTAATACAGCAGTGTACCTCTGTTATTTCAACAAATATATACTAACAACGAATTGTGTGACTCATTCTAGGTGTGACTGGCTCGTGACCAATTAATCGCACACGTTTCACATCCCATCCTCAATCCCGTTCCTACGCCTTGAGGACTCATGCTTAGCGACTGGGTAGACGGCGGTCTCTAAACCTAATCCTTGAAAGTTAATTAAGCTTGGGAAAGAACGGTTACAGTTTCTGCTGAGTTCTTATGCAATAAACGGTCTTTGCGAATATCTAGAATATTTGGTTTAAGGTTCGTGAAAAGCGGCGTTTACACGACCAATACAAACCTAACCTAAATGACCGGAGAAAGTTCATCCTGGAAGTCAATATAAATTTCATCTAACTCATATCAGTAGACTTGGGTGTTGTGGGATGTGAGGCATGTCTCTACCTCCCGTGTGTATTTCTGAAATCAGTGAATAATAATTTCATTCTGGAGACAGTGAGATCATAATAATCCACAGGCTTATCTCAATGTTTCCAGATCGTTGGAGCGACGATTACCTACCTAGTCATTTTCTTTCAATTTCGTCTAGCGCTCTCGAGCTAACCAGCGGAGCGTGGCGTCTCCAAGAGCAACCTCCAATACTGAAACAAGGACTGACTTCATGTATGCTGCGTCCACAGCATAACATATCGATCAATGTAGGGAATTATGCTGCGAAAATGACAGGAAAGTAAGTCAAAATGTGATTATGGGCAGGGTATTAAATATTTTGAAAATGTTTATAAAAATCTAACAATCTGGGAATAAGAATAACACATATAAATGGAGTCCATGCGAAAGTAAAAATTGAATGTACCACCATGTTTCACAAAAATATCTCGTTACTTTTACCCATGTGTTTTGTATAGCTCTTGTCATAAACAGAGCTTATTTCCCTAAGGAGCAATAACTCAAATAAATCTACAATCAAAATTCAGTGTTTTTTGTGTGAGGTAGGACCTTATGTGTTAAATATTATTTACATGAATCTCATTCGTTTCAACTATGCTCCTTTCTTTGCGTCATGTCGCAGATATCGTGTTTTGACTGTTACATGTCTTGACGCATGCCTGTGTGCGGCCTACGTAATAGAACATGTAACACACAATTTAAAATTTATCTTAAAGTTAACCTCTCATTAAATCCTAGTCATAATATTCCATGTTCAATTCATGCTCCCGTTTTGTGGTCCAGTGCCACCAAAGAATCCGTCAAATTCCGAGGCCCTGTGCAACATTTCGTGACAAGCTGCTCTCGTTCGTTCGGCAGTCTCCTACGCTGGAGGACCACCCATTATCTGTTGTACGCGATTACGTATCCAACATATTCTCACACACTTTTCACATCTGAAAACCTTTTCCTTCATCCTCAACACGATGATAAGCTACAAACATTACAAAAGTAACACGTACAAATTGTGGAATTTGTATCTTGCCACCTGGGACTTCTAAGTGGTGCCAGTCTCTCGAATCGGGAAACTTCTGCTCTTGTAGATAATGGCAGTTCTCACTGGTGTCGCCACTTTGCTCTTCCTTCGTACTTAAAGAATTGTAGACACAAATCTGACGATTAATTGGCAAGTTACGATACAAGTGACAATTATTTCTTGAGACATCCTGAAAATATTACGTCATCCTATATGCAACGTGTATGGGTACCCACCACGTCAGTGAGTCGGCCCGTACGAAAAGAGAAATGCAAGACATTATTAGATTATAATGTATAATCATTGTTTCTGTTATGACTCGTAAATTCTTCTTCAAAAACTTTCACTACTTTCTTAATTGGTTAGTGAATATATATTCCACACTACAGTATATAAGCCGGGGCACGCGGTAGCGTAGTTGGTTGTGGCACTATGCTACAAGCCGGAAGGTCGCGGGTTCGAATCCTGATGAGATGGATTTTTTTTTTTCAATTGACCTAGTCCTTCTAGCCGCAGTATGGCCCGGGGTCGACTCAGCCTCTAACAGAAATGAGTACCAGGTTTCTTCCTGTGTGGGGGGGGGGGCTATGTAAGGCTGAGAACCTCACCGTCATCTGTGAGCCGATTTTCTAGACGATGTGGGAGCCTCAACATCTCACGGCCTGTTACAGGGATAGCTTTACATATACAAGCCTAGTCTTTACATCATGTATTTCGATATTTATTCGTTCATTCATTAATGGCTCCACTGCCCTTTGTTGGGCCCTGGTCTCTTTCTCAGCTTCGTAATCTTTTTTACACAGACGGACGGACTCCTTGGACGAGTGGTGAGCCCGTCGCAAGGCCTCTACCTACAAACAGGAACACAAACACATAATAAACGCACACAGACATCCATGCTTCGAACCCACGAAGACAGTTCATGCCTTAGACCGCGCGGTCACTGCGACCGGCGCTATAAATAAATACATGACATTGAGTACACTCCGCTTATGCATAATTAAATTTTATGTCCTTTTCCAATCCCAAATTTTTATTCCACTCTTATTCAAATAATTTTCCAGCCTGTAATCAAATGTGCACCAAGGCCCCAGACTACCTGAATCCGGCGTTGGTCCTCGGTATTTTGAGCCCATTTTATTAAGTTGGTGCAAGAGAAAAGAGCAATGATGCAGGGTCTCACAAGCAGCGTCATAAGGGCGGTTATATTGCGTGGCTCGTTCGTGCCACATCCTTTGGTTATCCACACGTCCTTGGCTTATACCATTTCTCAAATGGTATGGTTAAACATGTCTTCTGGGAATATACTGAAGGAAAACATGTCTGTAACCACATAAAAAATGCTCAATAAATGCAGAGTGACTGGTCAATTAGGATAATGCATGACACAACGGCAGTATTGATCGGAGGAGGAAACAAAATGTCATGGCTCATTTAGTGCAGACTTGCGACTTAGGGACATTCGTGTACTATTCCTAAGCGAAGTTAGTAAAGGCAATGGACAGACACGAAGAAGTAGCTCATATTTATACAGTTTTGAAACCAATCTTCTTCACGTCTAAAATCTTAGGATTAGCTCCCTATGACGTAGTCGGTGACACCAAGAGAACTAAAGTCGCAGTGTCGATACTAGCTATAGTCTACAGTCTTACACTGTCTATAGCAATAGCCAGTATCCTTGGATATGGTCAATTTAAAATTGTAAATCTTTGGAAAAATATTTGCAATTCAAGCGAAAATATTCTAGTCTACGTAACGTTTTGTTGTTTAGTGTTAGCTTATTTAACACTTCTGTTACGCAGCAGGAGAATAGCCCGTCTGTTTGACCATTTAAATGATGTAGTTGAGGACACTTCTTATTCTGTTTGGAAGAAAGACCTGCAGACAATGTTGTCTATCCAGACTTTCGCTGCAATTATGCTAGTTTCGGGTACTGTCAGTGAACTGGGATTTTCTGTCATGGCAAAGGAGTTTGATGGTGTCTTGAGAATTATCTGCTACTATATCGCAGAATTTTGTTGTTTCGTGTCAGAAAACCAGTTCGTAGCCATCAGCATTGTACTGAAACGTACCGTTCATAACTGGAATTCCCATATTTGTGCTCTTACTGGGAACGAAGGAAGAGTTAATTTCCCGTGTTCTGCAGAATATATAAGAAAGGAAGGTTCTAATTTGTTTACCATTTCAAATAAATCGACAGTCTCAGAGCGTGCGGGTGTCAGTTCCATGGTTACCTGTTTTAGACACATTCGGAAGCAACATGAGTCAGCGTGTGAAGTTGCTGAGTCAGCGAATTCAGTATATTCTGCAGTGTTACTGCTCGCCGTAACAAGAGCATTCATATCACTTACACATGTATTGTACTTTATATTGATGGAGTTTGTTGCCCAGAAAATGAGTTTCTTGTGTAATGCAGGAGAAAGCATACCTTATTTCATATGTCTGCTTTATTATGCACTTCATCTGATATGGTTGGTGTACTTTACCAGTTTTACTTCTAAAGAGGTGAGTCACTTTGTTCCAGACATGTATAACTTACCCTTGTATTTAAACACTATATCATGAACAAGTAGGGGCAATGCAAGTTAACATTCACGCATTTTTATTCTCAGCTCTACAGAGGGGCGAGTGGTCGCTAGCTGGTTTAGTCAAACCCCTCGGGTTAAAAATTCGGGGCACATTAGGTAGGAGTCTAACCGAAATATTAAATATAACAATAAAAGAAATGCAGTATATTTTTGCGATATGCCCTACGGCCTTAAATACTTGCGCCCTGTTGAATTGAAGTCGGATTCCCTTACGAAAGCATTACGACGGCAGGCAGTTGAGGCGGCGACAGAGACTAAGCTAACTCAGCATGGAACGAGAGCTTCAAAATGCTGAGTCGCAAACTCCATGATGGGTTTTTTTTATTGCTAGTGGGGTGGGACTATAAATCCCTTGTACTGCGGCCACTTCTGGTCTATTGTACCAGCCCCAGATGATAGGTGAGGGTGATTGTGGAGAATTTGTTGGAATGAAGATTGGCAGGGGAAACCGAAGTACTCGGAGAAAACCTGCCCCAGCGCCACTTCGTCCACCACAAGTCACACTTGACCAGACCCGGGATCGAACCCGGGCCGCCGCGGTGGGAAGCCAGCGACTAACCGCTTGAGCTATGGCGCGGCGTTCATGACGAATTAGTTGCGATGGATATGGTAACTCGGGTTGGTAGGAGCTGGTGAAAAGTCTGATGTATGGAAATTACATCAATGCAGAGCCAAGATTACAGACAACGAGAGGGAAATCATTTTGAAAAAAGAAAGGATGAAATTATAAATGAGAAGAAAGTCGCAACTTCTATAATTGTCAAGGCCTCGAAACACGGAATGGATCATATACAGATCACCTATATATATCGACCAGTTTCTTCTCTGGCTTGTAGGAAATCTTAGCTGACTCTCTCACAATAAGAAAACACATATATGGGATGTGTTATTTTTCAGATGAATCGCACTGCTGTTGTAGTGCACAGATTTCTCTGCAAGACGAATGACCTGGTTCTAAGAGAAGAGGTAAGATCAGAGAAGTACGTCCAGCCTCAAAATAACGAGAAAATACAGTTCAGAAAAAAATTTTGCTTGGCAGCATGAATGGAAGTAATGCAGTGTAAATTTACAACTGTTTCATCAGAATTTCACTATTAGTTTCCTCGGATGTAAGCCATACCTGTCCCCATGTATTATCCCTAGGACAGCTGTCTGAATGTTCATTGCGTATGGAGTTAGGGAGACTCACATTTGTCGATACATTCCAAGATTGATTAAAGTTTCACAGAAATAACGGTCATCTTACAGAAAGGCCTACAAACCCATCTGCGGGCATTTCAAATGTTAACTGGATAAACATCGATTGGAGACAAGAGTGAAAATAGATTTTATGCCCATTATAATTTCTCCGAAATGTGTATGTTTTGGGAACCAATAAAACAGGGGCAGACTTGCTATATTTGTTGCACTATGAATAAATTTCCAAGCCTCTTCTTTAGTATATTGTACTGCATGTATGGGTCACTTTTGCTGAAGCAATGTTTTACTTTTATTACCTTGTGTCACAGTGTTTAACAACTATTTAAAAACATATAGGCCTACTATAAATGTCTGTGATATAAGAAGTGCTACCTTACTAGGCAAATTATTAAAAAAAGAACCAATTTACCCAAATTAACTGATTCATATGGCTATTTATTCTTTCTAATTTTGATGAAACGGTTTTGTAATCAGAAAAATCATGAAAAGTTTAGCACAACAACATTTTGTTTTTTTCAGTTGCAAGAATTCTCACTACAGCTGCTTCATCGAAAAGTGAAGTTCACGGCCTGTGGATTCTTCCCCCTGGATTACACGCTATTCTATTCGGTGAGAGCTTCAATATTTTTCTTCTTAATATAACAAATTTTTGTGTCTTCTATCTCCCATATCAAACCTAGAGTCTGAAACAGCACTTGCAAAACAAACACTTCACTCCTGTTTCTCAGCCTGAGGAAATAATACAGACCGTGTTTAAGAAAAGTGCCCCGGAGCATATTGTGACGCGACGCCTGAAAGCCGCCATCCCCTGCTGAGCGGAGCTTCGCGTAGCAGTTTCTAGGTAACGGATATCGAACCGCTCCAGTTCCCGCGGCAACCAGTACGCTGGAGGCCGTTGCGTTGAAAACGCGAAATAGAACTCTTCAAGTAAGTGTCTGCTACCCCGACTGCCTGGCAGAATAAAAGGAGAGGAGTAGAGAAGCCGTCCGTGCAGAAGTGAAAGCAGAATACAACACACGGAAGTCGGAAGAAGACAGAAGAAGCCATAAATAAAGTCTTTATTTTATTTGGTGTAGTTACAGTAACCTTTAGAGTGTTATTGTTGTTCGTAGTTATGAAGTGTTACGGTCACAGTAAGATTGTGTCATAATTAAGTGTAGTTCCGCCTGGTGAATATCCAATAAATCGAATCATCTAATCCGGGGGACATTAATCACCTGTCGCGTTACCAGGATACGTGACAGTATTGCGTCATCCACTAAACAGACGAATTGAATTAGCCGTATGTGTTACAGACAAATGACCATGACTCCTAAACCGCAAGCGATGGACCCAAACGGACTGCGTTCTTGGAAAGTTGGCATTTATTGGCGTGTTCCACTCGCGATACGTCCGATCCATCTCTTACGGTTTAGCCATGGCAGGCGGTTGAAAATTATTATATGTTTTGCGAAATTGTTTAAACAATGTATAATTTTATTTCGGGAATAAAATAAGCATCGACCTTGGATAGATCAGTCTTTATTGTTTCTCTTACATATAACTTTAAATATAAGACACACCACACGTCTTCAGTTATCAGCGGTTACGTAAGATGTTGCACGAGTTGTACTTAACGCTACGCTTTCTGTTACTAACGGCTTCATTCCAGTTGCATCCTCGTATAATAACGTTTTGAACGTTAAAATATTGATGTATTTAATGGAAAATTGAAACGTTTTTCTCTCTTAATGTTGCAGATCGTGGGGGCAGTTACTACATATCTTGTGATATTGATTCAATTTCAACTTGCTTTACCAGATTCTAACAAGAACATGACAACCGGAATAGAAACTTATCTCGTGACTCCGGATTCGTCAGAAAATCACTACCCGCACCAATGATCACTTTAAGCAGAGAGCACGTGCTGTTAGAAGCTGCGACTAGACGTAAATGTAGAATAACATAAACAAATAAGTGGAGTAGTCGTCAGTCAGAAGATGAGAGTCGCTAATCTGCCCAATGCATTCATAGTCCTTTGTAAAATGCAAAGATATGCTGTAGTATGCACTGCTCTGAGAAGGATCAATTGCACATCCTTATATCTTGTTTCTATAAGATTAATTTTCTAAATGAAATCCTCGCTACACACAGTATCTTTCCTTAAGTTTTTCGGAAGAAATTTTATACGTATTCTTTGTGTGGGATACCATCTGCATCATTATACGACCGTTTTCTCCCTTTCCAATTCAGCAGTCATCCGTCACCTTTCAATTGGCTACTGTATGCTTTAGATCCTGACAGTAACGTAAAAGAACCTCCACCCAACAAATATTACTCGATCCAATGTATTATGATCGTGCATCTGCAGAAGCAGTGCTGATCCCTTCTGGAATTATGGTGAACCAATCTGTGGTGTTATCCTCACACTTGCTTCAGGTACCCCTATTAAATTTTTTCATGTCAGGTACTAGCTGTGAGTCTGTTGCCATGATTTGAGATTGGTGAAAGAATCATGTTCTACGATTCCTCAGCTGGTAAGATGCACATTCGTGCCATTTCGACAATAAAAATTACACTTCTGTGTGAAAATAACATTTTACATATCATTGCATATGTCACTGTAACTGTAAATATTGAAAAGTTGAAATTCAACCAAAATATTAAATTAATTCTTTCCTCGATGTCTGAGCTTGTTCTATAAAAATAAAATTTAATTAACATCTTTATGCACATTTCTGCGCAAATGTGGCTGTAACAATTCTATTTAAGCAGAGTGCATATCTTCAATATGAAACAACATTTTCAGTGTTTAGTTCCGCGCTACGCGGTTCTGTGAGTGTGAAAATAAGGATGTGGCCATATGGTTATAACGACCGGCAGATCCACAGGGCCCTCAACCGCCGTCCCAACTACAATCAACATGATGACCGCAGAGACACTGTCGCCTTCTTGCCCTTTGTCGGGACTATATTCAACAGGATCAGCAGAGTGCTGTACCGACACAACATCAAATCAGTTGGCCTGCCTCCTAAGAAAATATCTAATTCCCTCCGGCCTGTCAAGGATCACCTGGGACTGAGGACACCGGGAATTTACAGAATCCCCCGCAAGTGCGGCAAAGTCTACATTGGGCAAACGGGCCGTTCTGTGGACACCAGGTTGAAAGAACATCAACGGCATTTACGACTGAAACATCCGGACAAGTCAGCCGTAGCTGAGCACAGCATCGAACTAGACCACCGTATCCAGTTTCACAAAACCGCCATAATCACCTGTAAGAGCCGTTACCTGGATCGCATCATCATGGAGGCCATTGAGATCGAGCTCCATCCGGACAACATGAACAAGGAAACAGCACGCACGTAAACTACACTCTAATAACAAGAACATAAACTCAAGAGAAATAAACGACATCTCCCACCATGAGGAGGAAAACAACATGACCCAATGTTGGCTCAAGATATTTTAATATAATAACTAATTTTTTACATGGAAATTTTAATACAATTTTAAATGCATTGGGAGGCTACTGTATGAAAAAGTGAACATCATATCGCGTGCAGTGGAAAACCCCAGTCAGAATAACCAGGAAATACACTAAAAGAAACATCATCATAAGTAAATCTACATTTCAAGAAGCGCCATTGTGAGTGCCTAAGACAAACATCAAAACCAACCGTGATAAAAAATTTATATACTAAGCATTAGACATATCTTAAGTGCATATTGTTAAAATATCTTATGTGACAGTGTTTCCTTATCGTAGTGGTGCGCCTCTGAAGATGATTCTTTTGAATCGAAACATGTAAGGTCAATGAGGACTGAAGTGTTGTAAACTCGTATGTGACACTGGACTGAACATTATCCACTCTGAAACAGGGTTTTGTCTCAACAAGTCATGGAAACCTCTCATCTCTTCCCTCAAGAGAACTCCACAAAGCCACCCCAGTTCTTCATGTCACTGACGTCAGTAGCCTGTCCCCAGCCAACCGGTTCCTCTTGTTTACCCGCTACCTACGTGCCATTGACCTCCAAGTTGCCTGGATTCACTGGCCGGTTTCTTCTCCGCCCCTTTCCACCCCGGACCATATATGGTTACTTAAATCGTTGTTCACTGTTCCCATTGGTCCCCTCTNCCCCCCTGCCTACTTCCTATATAAATTAGCGCTCTTCACTTCCGAATCATTGCAGCTACTGCTCTCTGTATTCGCAACGCGATTCACCTGCCCTGAAGATGGAGGCGATACGTTCCTCCGAAACGTCGGTGAAAACCAAGAATACACGGCGCCAGATCCCAGAAGACGACTTTCTTCAACAGTTTCAGTGTTTAGTTCCGCGCTACGAGGTTCTGTGAGTGTGAAAATAAGGATGTAAATTGAGTGAAATTGCAGTTAACCTTAGATATTTCAAATAGACCATACTTGATGTACCAAATACTGTATTAAGGTCCCACCTTTGCAAGTTTTCGGGAGAAATGAGAGATTTTCTCTTCATGCGATATTCTTAATGTATCAGTCAACACAACAATTCTAAAGTAAACAAATCAACACTACCGTAGCATCATTCGTTTATTGTGTGGAAGTATTGCTACATGTTTCGACCCTGTCGTATCATCATCAGGCAATCATTACATGATTATGCCACTCGTTATTGGATTGTTTATCGATAAGGATCTACGAAGGCAAATCGAAAAGTCTTTGCCCCTATTTTTTTTCAGCCACAATAATACACATACAGGGAAATCAAAATAGAGGCAGTGTTCTAAGTACCTTTGACTATTTTTCCACATAGTCACCAACCCGGTTCAGGCATTTGTCCCACGCACCACTAGCTTGGAGATGCCGCTGTTGTAGAATTCGACCGGTTGAGCGCGGAACCCCCGCTGGACAGCGGTTTTCGCGTCGTTCCTCCGTGTCGCATTGCAAATATGTGTGGATATTGATGACTTTGAATCATTTCTGCGCTTTTATGTTCGATTAATTTACGTAACTTTACACTTAAGGAATTTTGAAAACCACGTACAAACCGCGGATCGTCGTGCGCCTGCCAAATTTGCCAGCAGCCCGGAGAGCTCAGCTCTGCAGGAGCTGTCGTTTCAGGAGGTGGGCGTTCGAACAATCCTTCCAGGTGATACAGGCATAACTCATTATTAACTTAATTAGGGATTTATAAATAATGATTCTAACATTAGCGCCTAAATGCTCGCTTCTGAATAGGGAATATTTGCTTATGTACGTGCTTATGGCTTTGTCCACAGCCCTTTCGACATGGAGTCTCCATGTGATCCTCTTATTCAAGATGACACCAAGGTGTTCCACCCGTTGAGCTGTAGTTTGTCTTCACGGGCTCTAAATTTTCTAGACAAAAAGGTCGCCTGGGTTTTTCAGTCTTTGTCATTTTCGTTCCGGAGCCCACACAACGACTACACAGCAATAAAACCGCATTCAAATTTCCTGAAAATACGACATTCGTGCTTCTTTGTCGCGGATAAACAGTACGAATAAAGCAACGAGGTAGCATAGAGGATGCATACCTAAGAGAAGTGCAACGGTGTACACTCTAGGGTAGGCCGCACACCGGCATGCGTCAAGACATGATATCTGCGACGTGACACAAAGAAAGGAGCACAGTTGAAACTAATGTACTTATGAAAACCGCCGCACACCGGTCTGAGTCATGATGCTGACGTCAGCTTCATGCTCAAGAATCACTAATGAAGCAGGACTGCGTATTTTGTCTCATGTCTTGATTCTTGTCTTGACGCAGTTGGTGTGCGGTCGCCGTAATAGTTCAGGGTAGGTTCTTGGGAAATATGCTGGGACCTGAAACTTGGGCGTAGCAAAGAGACAACACGGTGGAAGTGATGTGTGGATTTCGGTAGTGCTCTCCGGACATCATCCGCTCACTAAGCAACTGCGCGTGAGACTGGATTATATTCTGATGATAGCTTTCCGGGCCAACATCACCTACTTCTTTGGGAAGGGAACCTGTGCGAATCTACAGCGAGATTTTCTAACAGGGACACCTCAGCCGGAAGTCAGGCACTCCTCCCGTCAGGTCGAGTAGGCCAACAACGCTGAAGTTCGCGTTATGGAAGCGTTGTCAAGACAACTCAGGCGATTTACGTACAGACTGATCAACATCGCCATCTGCTTCTCACGCTCGCTCCGTCCCGTCCTCCTGAAGAGAATTTCGAGTATCCCATCTTAACTGCGGGCGCCGTTAGTTTTGTGGTCTTATTCGAATGTAAGTTTTGAGGTTTTCACGGCGATGACTATGAAGAAAGTCGTCTTCTGGGATCTGGCGCCGTGTAGTCTTGGTTTTAACCAACGTTTCGGAGGAACATATCGCCTCCATCTTCAGGCCCTGAAGATGGAGGCGACATGTTCCTCCGAAACGTCGGTTAAAACCAACAATACACGGTGCCAGATCCCAGAAGACGACTTTCTTCATAGTCATCGCCGTGAAAACCTCAAAACTTACAT